CCATGGACCCCGGTAACCCGGGGTGCCGGGCACCGGCCCGTCGTCAGTGTCGTCCGCCTGGCTGAGGAAAGGGCTCGTTCTCGGACCCAGCCATGGTCCCAGGGGCCGCGCCTGCCCGCGCTCTGGTCCCACCGACGATCCTACCTGCGAGGAGAGGAGGCTGGAGGCAGGAGGCCGGAGGGGCCCGGGCGCGGGAGGTGCGCGCAGAGGCGGGCAGGAGCCTGCCCAGCCCAGAGCACGGCGGGGATGGAACCCGGCCCGGTTCTGCTCCCCGTCCCGGCAGACACCGCGCGGAGGGGATGCGTGGAACTCGGGTGATGTCCGGAGAGGGTTGAGGGGGGCCGCGCAGGGCCTGGTCCTCCCCACCCCCCTGGTGGAGCCACCCTCACCCCGGGCAGGAGCCCACGACGCTCGCTGTAGCTCAACCCCAGCGCTGCACCACGGCCGCCGCCATGATGGCTAAAAGCCGGTCATGTGATGACTGAGTCTGGGTTGCCGACGCCACCGCGTGCGAGCCTTTGACACATGACCCGCCTCCCGACTGCTGAACCTGAGGCCGAGGGCCGCGCATGCTCCTAAGACTTCGCCGCAGGCTCCTGCACCACGTGACTGCCGCCCTGTTGCCTGGGTAACCGGGGAGCGCGTCTCCGAGTCCGCAGGACCCCGGCGCGCGGAAGCGCCTCTGCTGCTGTGCAGCCAAAGCAACCAGCGGCGGCGTCGCGGCCCAGACCGCCGTTCCAAAGGCAGTCAGAGCTCCAGCAGTTACCACTAGGGGGCTACCCCGGAGCCATTAATAACCAGTACTCCTTTGTGTGACACCCTACCCCCACGCTTTCTCCACTTTCTTGCTCCTCAGCCCTCAGTTCCTGAGACGGGGGCTGAGCAGGGACATAGAGGAGCGGTAGGAATCCCCTCCCCATATGCTTCCTTACCCTTGATGGCCAAGGGCATATATGTTGGTACAAGAAGAGGTTCAAGAGTCCTGTTAACTCCCCAGTTCATACACTACAGGTGCCCCGTCCCCTGGCGTGGGGACTTGGGCTCCATTACCTCTCCAAGGGGCTCTATGGTCAGCCCCACCCCTGGGGGCCATTTCCCCATTATCTACCCCCCAGCCCAAGGAGGGGTGAGGGGGAAGGGCTGTTAGTTAATATTAAGGTGGTGGTTGTTATTTTAAACAAAATGGAGAAGCATGAATAAATAAAAGGGTTTATTTCAGTTAAAAAAAAAAAAAAAGTCAGTCAGGGGAATTGGTGAAGTTGCAACCCTCTGAATCTCAGCTTCCTTATCTGCAACACCCTCTTGGCTGACTTCTTCCCAAACGAGATAAAGGGATGTTGAAAGGTTCTGGACCTGGCTGGGCAGCTCCTCCAGATATGCCACTGTGGGTTCATACCGGTCAGGGCACATACAAAGAGTCAACCAAGGAATGCATAAATAATGGAACAGCAAAGAAATCTCTCTCAAGTCGGTAAATAAGTAAACTTAGAGGCTCTGAAAATACTAGGTAACCCTAGAAATGCCAATGAACTGTTCTCCCTCTAAGTGATTATTCTCTCTTCCTGGGTGACTGATTTGGGCTTTAGACATGCTCACTATGTGTCGAATGAATGAATGCTGAGCAGCGGTCCCAACCCTGGCCTCCTGGGTCCCTTTCCTGTCGTTCGGATCCCCCAACCCAGCTGCCTGTTAAACCCTTGAGCTATCCCAGTAGACATTAAAGGAAGCCTCTCCAGAACCCGAGCGTTCCGCCCGGCCCCCCCCACCCCCCCCCCCCCGCCGCCGCCCCTCGCGCCGCCATCGGGAGCGGTTTTTCCTAAGGACTTGGACCCAAGCTCTTGCGCCCTCTGGTGGTCTCATTTGGGGCAGAGACTCCTAGCGGCAAGACGGGCTGGGGGACAGAGGCCTGCCCCAATCTCCAAGATACAGCTAATAAACATACACTCTAAATAAAATTAGTATAGTTCTATGCAAATGTTACTTCAAGACCCCTCTGGCAACCAGACCTGGGCTGAAATTCTGGAATCTCATGGGGAGAGCATGAGGCCCCCGAGGAACCTTATCAGAAACTGTTTTGTCATGAAAACCCCTCAATGGCATTGTTCCAGGAGATGCTTCATGGTTCAGAACCTTAAGCCAGGTCTCCACTGGACATCAATGAAAATAACACTTTCCGGTTGTAAAGGCAAATATTGTTATGCTAATTGGTTTTGCCAAATGGGGAAAATATTCAGCTCTTCTCTGAATATAGGTGCTTTTTAAAATTCGATGGATCTCTTGATTTAAATTCATTTAAAGTCAGATAAAGAAATATGTCTGTCCTGCCCTAGTTGGTTTGGCTCAATGGATAGAGCGTCGGCCTGTGGACTGAAGGGTCCCGGGTTTGATTCTGGTTTAAGGGCACATGCCTGGGTTGCAGGCTCAATCCCCAGTAGGGGGTGTACAGGAGGCAGCTGATCAATGATTCTCTCTCATCATTGATGTTTCTATCTCTCTACCCCTCTCCCGTCCACTCTGAAATCAATAAAAATGTATTTAAAAATAAAGAAATATGTCTGTACAGTTCTGTTGGTTTAAATTGGGGCCCAACTTTTGCTCTATTTGCTTTGGAAATTGTGGGTTTTGAGATATAAGCATATGTTAACGTCTTGAAAAAAAAGTTCACTTATGACAAGTGCCACAAAAATGAAATCTGTCACATGGGTATTATAAGAACCTGATAATAGGAACATTTGACTGGTCAGGGAGGTTGAGAGCTTCTTAGGAAATGGTCTCGGGCTCAGATGTGGGGGGAGGGGGTAATCATTGACTTC